ATTCTTTGAAAAAAATATCAAAATGGACAAATTCCAGCCAGAGGAAAAAGAAAGGCAGCCAGTATTAGGAATGGAAAGGGCCCCTTGGTGTACTCACTGCTGTTGAGCTGACCCTGATGCAGAGGAGAGAGAACTGCCCGTTGGGTTTCCGAGACCGAAAATCTGTAAGTGACCAAACAGCTTCAGGCTTCTTTCTCTGAGGTTGGCAGCCTTGCCGACCATGTGGTTAGCAGCCTGACCCTTAGGCATTAGGGCTCTATGGGGAATTTTGAAAAATGGTATATTTTAATATTATTTTTTAGCTTTTAAATATTTTAAATGATGAAACTATCCGTTTTGATTATCTAGGGTTGTAATAACAGATAAGCCACAAGAGAGTGGCTTCAATGACCAGACATTTATCTCCTCACTTTGGAGGAGGCGAGACATCAGATTCAAGGTGCCTGTTCTCGGGAAGTCTCTCCCCTCGTGTCTGTGGTCGTCTTAGATTCCTGCGAGATTTTCCTCGCAGTTCTTCTATAGTTCAAAAATAGTTCATTTAGGACACCCCTATACTTATATTGTCTCATGGACATAACAGAGAGAACCCGTTCCCATGGGGGATTATAACCACAGGTATAGGGTTGTGATTTACTATATATATTTTGTAGGGACATGATTTAATCCACAACAATAGCGAAAGATATGATTAAAGGTGACTGAATAAGTAGGAGATCCATCTAGAACTTGACAAACATATTGTTTTCGTTTATGGAATCGTGAAAGCCATGAGAAGATCAAAGTGGGAGAACCTGCCCAATAAGATGTTAAATTGTTTCATGAAGCTGTTACATGCTATAGTATTGTTCCCTGTTAGGCATATGTGATGGATGTCCAAGGTAATTGAGATCACGGAGGAAAGGGTAAGTTCACAAATGAAACATTGGAACAATTGGGTCATCAAAATAGAAAACCATGAAAAAGTTTCTAATTCTAACCTAAATTTTGCACAAAAATGGAAAATATGTGTTGCATCTTTTTTAATTAAAAAATTATAGTTTAACATTTGTTATTTCCTGAGGGTAGAGAACATTTTTTTAAGAAAGAACTTTAAATGTTTTCAAGATGTGACAGTATAAACATTTTAAAGTATTAAAACAGTGCTCATAAAAAAAACCACTATTAAAAGTAGTGAGAATACAAGCTGCACATAGAATGTATTTAGAACACTTAGCCAACAAAAAAATTACTTCTGGAATAAACATATAACTCCTAACATCGATAACAACAGGCAATCTAATAGAAAGTTTATAAAAACCACTGGTGGGCATTTTATTGTCAAACAAGAAAGGCCAATAAAATGCTGAAATTCCATTAATAATTAAGGAAATGAAAATTAAAACTACAAATGATGCCAATTTATATCCCCCACATGGACAAAAATAAGAAATACCATATATACGAAGATATTGAGGAATGGGAACTCTATATATAATGCTAGTGGATTTCCAACTTGGTAAAACCACATGGGACAGCAATTCAAACTATGCAGTAGAATTGAAGATGTTCTTTTAATTGCCAATTTCACTCTAAACATGTGCATATGTATGCCATTCATTTTTACAGAAAATGATCACTGCAACCTTTTATTTTCTTCTTGTAGTCAAAACTCCTGAAAATAATGTAAATCTTCATTTACCACCAAGAAATAAATGAACTGTGGTTTTTATATGTTTAATATTTTATAGTAGGGAAAAAACATGAAAAACTATAATAATAAGCATTAATAATATGAATCTCATAGGTGTAATATTTGGCATTAATGAAGAAGCATTAAGAAAAAATACTAACAAAATCAAACCCACTGGCATCCAGTCAATTCCAACTCACAGCAACTCCATATTGGATTTCCCAGACTCCAAACCGCTATGAAATTTACCGCCTTATCTTTCTCCCAAGGAGTAGCTTATGTGTTTGAACTGCCAACCTGGTGATTAGAAGCCAAACACTTATCGCACAGTGTCATGAGGGCTTCCAAATAGGGACCAAATGAGGAAAATGACAAATATGTAAAATTAAAAACATACAAAATAAATAAGCTAATTGAGAATACATGATATTCAAGCTACTTACATTCAATAAATACAAATATTCAAAGAAATTACATTCAAGGTAATTAACTTCAATGGAAGCCAATGAATCATAAACAAAACATTGAGTAATGGTTACTTCTGACAGTAGGTATATATATGGAGTGAGGATGGCTTCCACTCTTTAACCTGTATGGGGGGACTTTGCAAATAATCCTTATATATTTATTATGCAACATATAACCAAAAAGTACACCAAAAATGCACAGCTCACTGAATTATTAGGAAGAATACCCTTGCCTGGCCATGACACAGGTCAAGAAACACAAGATGCTAACATCTTTTCTGACCGCCAAAGGTAATGCCGTCTTTTCTGTCCTCTGAAGGTAATGACTATCCTTATGGTCTTTTTCAAGGATCTTAGTGGCACAGTAAGTAAATTCTTGGTGGATAATCTATAGGTTGGTGGTTCAAAGTGGATAAAATACCTGGCAAATCTACTCTTGTAAAAGTTACAGTCTGGGAAACCCCATGGGGCAGTTCTCCTCTCACGTGTGCTTGTTACGGGGCAGAGTCTGTTCACCATATACAACAATGTTTATCGTATCTGCACAGGCGTGCCTATCTTTATTTGTGTCTGATGTTTTCAAAATTGACAGGTTAAATCATATAGAATTGATTATTTTGGTCTACCTTCTTTTATCAAGGTCATGCTTGTTAGATGATCACATATATTGCACGCTGGGGCAGTTGTTCAACTTTACAGTTATATTTTATTCCATCGTACAGAAGTATTATAATTTATTTTTCCATTCTTTTTTGATGTTGCTTATAGTTTGGTATAATTATAAATAATGTTGCTGTGTAGTTTTTTTCCCAAGTTTCTTGGTACATATGTAAACTTCTTTCCATGATGTCCATAGATAATTATAGGGTTCACATATGTGACATATGTTTTTGTGTGCATTAAACACAAAAATATATAAAACAGTTTCGTTGCTACATTAACATGTTATTTTACTTTAATTACTAGGGGTGAGAAACATTTTTCATCTTTGAATATAATTAGCTTTGAATTTGCATTATTCTTTGTCCATTTTTCAATCTTTTTTTCTTTTTAATCATTTTATTAGGGGCTCATACAACTCATCACAATCCATAAATACATCAATTGTGTAAAGCACATTTGTACATTAATTGCCCTCATCATTCTCAAAACATTTGTTCTCCACTTAAGCCCCTGGCATCAGCTCCTCATTT